GCGATGTTTTTTTTGTCTATTTTGAAATCGATGAGGGATGCTCATACAAAGAACATGTACAAAGATATACCTAGGACTGTGTGATTGGCAACAAAAATTTGTATACCGCTTTTGCGTATCCCTAATACTTACCTACATCCTATAGTAGTCTGGAGAAAAGTTACTAAACCGGTGACAAAGATCATCGTGGAAATAATGTGACTCCTTGCGGGATCATCTTCGGCCATGCAAAGGGCTGGTGTTAGAATAAAAGGTATAGAAACGATGGCGCCAATCATGGTCAAGTAATGCTGGAAAGTTATACATTTTTATTTTATGTCGTATAAAAATAATGATTGCTAAATTATTTTAGATTGCAAAATAATTAATGCTTTTATTTTATGTTTTTTGCGTTAAAAATAATTGTTTCTGGTTTTTTTTTTGCCAAGAGCGTTATATTCTTATGTATACAAACTAATGATTAGGGCGAAAAATAAGAAAATAAATGTAATATTTGATTAGGAAACCTGCAAAGCCATGAATAGGCACAGATACCACGGTGGGACGTCGTCGATACCGTAAGTGATCTCGGGATTTCTGTTCGTATCATTCGTCGTTTTTTTTGATATCGGAATGTCTGTCAAATTTTCTATATTCTGAAAATTGAAGAACACACTCAGGATAAATGACATTTTTTAGGACTGAACAAAATATTTCAAATAAAACAAATATATATTATTCCAGTATTAAATGGTTTAAAATACGAAATACAAAGTATTATTACTTTTATTATTTTAGAAAATAAAACACTTTGTGTTTCAAACATTTATGAATATGTATTTTATGTTTTGCTCAGCATTACGTGTATTGACACTTTGATAGTCAGATTATTTACGCAAAAAAACTTCTGTCTGTTGTTGGATTGTTCATAGATTAATCATGTCTATAGAAGTCAATATATTATTTGTTGCTTAAAAACCATTAAAACTATCATTATATAACTCTCGTTATTTGTATCTTTATTATTAGTGTTTGATAACTGATCGATATTGAAATGTGAAAAATGATGAAATTGTGAGATGAAATTGTTTTTAACGTCATGTTGCCGTAAATCAGATTTGTTTGGTGCTACAAAGATAAGAATATTGTCATTTGTTAATTCCGCATTTGATCCTGTTTATCTCTTATCTTTGATATAATTTTATATTGAGAGTTGATGAATTTACACAGAACATATTATCTATACGATCGAAATTTTATTGATTTTAATCTCTGAACTTATAGATCTCTGAATTTACTGTTTAAATTTAAATTATTATAAAGATATTCTAATACATTCTAATGTAAAGATATTCCAAGATATTCTGTACATGTGCTTCAGAGGTTTTCTCAGATTTTTTCTGCTGTTTTAATAATTTACATTACAAGAATTATATATGGATAGTATCTAAACCTTTATCAGTAGATATACCACTTGCGCAAAGCAGTTTGATTAGCATAAAGCACCAATTAGTATAAAATTGAATAAGATCGATGTAAAACGCGACAAGAGTTGCGAGATTATGCAATAGTTCGTTACATTTTTCCTTTAACTAATCAGCTAACATATCTTCCTTTAACATATCAGCTAATCGCATGCTCTTAATTTTATTAACATCCAAGAACAAAGATGTATTGTAATTGTCAATTTTATGTTGTTAACTTTACCAAAGCATAAATTACAATCCAAAAAATGTTAAGATGAATATCGTATATCGCACACTTATCTCCTCGAGTCTGTCTGCTGATTTTCGTCACATATTGATATTGATCGTGATGTTCCTAATGAGTTAATAAAACTCAAAATTAAATGGTTAACTCTAAATGTTAAACACTTGGTGATAATACTGAGATGCACGGAACTTTCCAGAATGATTATATATATTAACGGACTTAGCGGGAAATGCCATATTATTGCTTACACGAGGTATTAAAATTCCGTAGCCATTTTGCAAATAATGTAATCGCTTTTAGCTTTGAAGATTTGTATATCGACAAGTATATATTGATGCAATTAGATTCATTACAAAAAAAAGATGTATTTTGCAGCTCTGTTTTATAAGCGTTGACTCTTGGTTCAATAACACAAGAATAAATATGAGATTTAGCGATGTCTGCGGCATTTATTAGCATGACTTTTTACACATTAATATTATATTTACATTATTATTTTTGTCAATTATTATCTAGCGTGTTATTTAATAATATTCTTCCAAATGCTTGATTTCTATTTATTATTTCTCAATAACAGATTTTTTACATAATTGGAGATGGTCATTGCTTATTGAAATTAAGAACTGTTAACTAACGATTGTCAATGTTACATATTTTTGTGTAAGTTTTATAGTGAAATTATCAAGTTATTGAATGTCTATTCGAAATCAATGCAAGTATATGAATACAATTTTATTATTTATTTGTTCCCTGAATCTTTCAATTCGCGAAAAAATATAGTCCCTTTTAATCGAATAAAAAGACTTTGTTAAAGAATATCTTTTTTGATAAAAAATACTACACTATGCATTCTACGAGCACATTATTAAATGTAGCGCAGATTTATATTCACAGATAAAAACCATATATCAATGTTGTGAGTAGAGATACTTTAACATATGAGAATCGTTTATTATAATTACTCACCATTTCAAGCATTTGTATTCTGTTCTCCGACATTTTTGGCACGATACAATTCTCACGAGCTCACTGATTGTTCTATTAAGAAAATATCACAAAAATCCGAAGAATGTCAAAAGTGCACGTTTGAGCAACGCGATTCGATCGCACCTAAATGATTGACTACGTGTCGAATCTATATGCCATCTCTTCTTTTAATATACTGTTCTACTGCCCGATGCGACTTGCTGTAATTGATGTTTATTAAATGGTCATGCTCAATGAGCCAACTTTAAAATAATTTGATTGTATCTAAGCAGCACATTTTTATTCTATCGCAAAACTACAAGAGACACCGATATTTAATGCAATCGCATGTCATGCGACCGCTACATGATAATTAAGTATTGTCATTGACAATAAAGTCTCGAGGCGCGAGATCTGTGTGGGGATAGTTATAGTGGGGTAAGGAGTTTTATATTTAAAATTGTACCAAGAGAGATCGCGGATGAATGAGCGAAGGCGAAAATGACTTCCTTTTCTTCCTCATCTTGTTTGAAAATCAATATCTATTTCTTGAAACACAGCATTATTCTTTGAAAATTATTCGATGTAATATCTAATTATATTAGTTATGTTTTCTTACTTGCACTAAAAAATTGATATTTATTTAGATTTTGCAGTGAGAAAGAAAAAAAAATGCGGAAAGCACAATTGAATCGAATACTAGCGATTAAAACTTTCCAATGATTGAACAATTCGGAGTAGTTTTAGATAATGTAAAGTAATGCCCAGAAAAGTAAAATTTAAAT